CACGATAGATAGATTGGTGCCGTTCGGCCCCGCGACATTCGGGGCCAAGTCGTAGAGTTGATCGACCAGCCGGAACTCAGCCTCATTGACAGCGGTCGGCTTTATGAACTGGCCATAGATGCCAGCCAATGACGTATTCCAGGCATACGACCCTTGGTCGAGGAATCTCCCGGGAAATTGCAGCGTAAAGATCTGATTACCTAAAGATTTGGAGCGTAAGATTTTTTCCTTTCCACAAAATCGAGATTATTTTACCGCCCGGATTGAAGAACTGCTTGAGGGAGTTAACCAGCTCTAGCAACGGCAACATCAGCGTTCTTATGATACTGTTTGAACAAGGGGAGGGGATCGGGTACCTAGCAAAAAGCCAGGCGCCGCGTAAGAAGGGGCAGCGCCCGTGCCCCCAGGAGCCACATCTCGCTGTGGGGCCGCTGGCGGTTGAGCACCTTTCTCCGGGCGACGTGAAAGGCGACGATTTGCTTTGAAGTTTCCGGCGATGTCGGCCCACAGAAGACTAACGAGCGAACTGTCTACATGTGCACCAGTCCCGACAGCTTTAACAGCCCGACCGAGAAGCCTCTGTTTGTCGGTCGGGCTAAAGGAAAAGTTATCGAGTGCTGCTGCAAATTTTCCGTCCGGAAGTCCACTGTCGGGATAGAGGAGCTAGATAATCACGTCTGAGCTGTTGGTCACGAACGATGTAAAGCCACTGACCCGAAGCATGTCGAGGTCGGTATCCGAGGGGGTTATATTTAATTCGGAGTAATAGATCTCGCCGTCCTCCTCAAAAGGAAGGTCGGCATACATCATAACAGAATCCGGATCGAACTAGAAGGGGCAGCGTCAGACTGTGCATGAGCTATACATATCGTACTCACCATCGTCGCGGCTAAATAGTTCGCTATACTTTTTGCGTCTTCAACAGTGGAATTTGGAGACTCGTGCTCGTGGTACAAACCTGGATATATCTGTCTCAGTTCAGTTTTTTTTGGAAAAGAGTGGGACGAACCGAGGACATGTCCAATTTCATGGCAAAGACTTCCCCGGGCGAAGTCTTTTTTCTTCTCGTCAAGTTCAGTCTCACTCTGCAGTGGCTGACCACCAAGGTATATGGTAGTCCATTTGAGTCCCGGTCGGTCCTTTTTATCGGTGGTCGGGTCAAAAGCCAAGCCCAAGGCCCTCTTACCATTAGCCGCCCAGCCCCAACGAACTCCGGATTCCTTGGAAGCGGCCATGGCCGGTCCAAAGCAGAAGCGTATGTTGCATAATTTTCGTGTATCCGGATCGTCGAAATCAAAGCCGCGAATATCCACAGGGCGAAACGTGAGCGAAGTATACTGCATGTATAAGTTGAGGACTTTTTGAACGCGCTGTTTCCGGAAGTCGGTTACAGCGCCCAATGGGTCCGCGTTGTCGAGGAAACCGTACGTGATACTTTGGTAGGGGAGCCATAGCGACGATTCGACGACGAGGCCATGTTGAACATCGCTTGGGGCATCGGAGTATTCCTCCGGAGAGAAGACCGCACACCAAGTCGCTGGGCGGAGAGTTGGATCGGCTGATTAAAAATTAGAAATCTTCAAAATTGCGGAAGGAAAATGGACTTGCTCGGAGTAACGGCCCCGTTAAGAGCGCCGTTGGTGTTCGGGGGTGTGACATTTGCACCAGAGTCCGCACCATTGACTGGCTTGGCTGGCGACGCCTTGGCGCGCGCTGTGACCTGGAATGTGGTAAAGAGGGCCCGAATTTTTGTAACGTCGCCTTTAGCGTCCTTGATGTTCTGGGTAGTCGCAGCATCGACACCAGAAACCTTCAGCGCGTAGTCGAGAGTCCAGGTCGGTGCCGACGCATGCGGCGTAGGCCGAGGGTAGTTGATTATCATGTGAGCTTTGTCCATGTCGGAAAGGGCGTCATTGGGAGGAACATCACGGCGCTCGAGGTTCATTGCTGCCGGCATGAAGTACCTGCACGAGTGAAATTAATCGCTCGCATTTTGTACAGAGGCAAGGCCAGAAGAACGCACATCATGATTGAGGTCGTGTCGAGTGCGCTGAAGTTGGACACGTCCGTGGTGTTGTATACATCGATGATTTGACTCTTGATGGTTCCATTGTCCCAGCCTAGTTCCCCGTAGTCAGAATCCCCGAAGGAAGGAAAGGAAAAAGAATTTAAATACCTTGGGTCGCCGCGTAGTAAGCATAGACGGCATCATCGTCAAGGTGAAGGGTGCCTTCGCGAGCGGGACTTTGATGCCTGAATACTCGGGAATTAGCCTAAGCAGACAGGGACGAAGTTAGGAAATAAACCCACTCATGGAGCAGACCTAACGCGTGGCCGAACTCGTGGAGAATCACCCCGCGATCGTCGGCAGAAACGGTGGTGCTGTCCGAAACCCACCCAAGATTCATAGTGACTTGAGAAGTCGAGACTGATAGGTTCGCTTTCCCGACTGAACGAATATCAGTTAGGTTCAGGTATTGCACGGACATGGCGGTAAAACTTACCGTAGCTCCAAGAACCCAAGTTGGGATCAAACGAGATCCGTAACGTTCCAACTGTTGCACGCTGGAATGTGATATTTGCGTAGGGAAACCTGGGACAGTGATGAGAAGAGATAGAGAAAAATACCGAGCGCTCTTACCATTCCAAAAGGACCTTATCAACCTTGGCTTGCTGATTGGGAGTTCCGCCGCTGTACGAATACGTGACCGTCTGTGGATTGTCAGGAGGTGCTAGATTTAATGGCCAGGCGAGTGACATACAGCGCCGCTGTCCCATAACTGAGAGAGCTTGACAACCACGGCGTGCGCGGCAGAGCTCACGGGCTTGCCGCCGATGGCCCCGATGATGGTTTCATTGCTGACGGACGAGTTCTTCTCGCTGTCTGGGACGGCAATGGCGCAAGTTTTATACTGCGATATGTTGGCCATGGTCGGTAGAGCAAGAGGTGAAGCGCGGATTACCGTCTAGCGAATAGAACTGAACTCTTAGTTTTTAAAAGACGGCAGGGGAAATTAAGCGAGCGCCGTGTCGGGACTTTGAACCTCCGGAGCGCTAGGAACATGGAAACAGGACCTGAAATTGAAGGATACTGTCTGGTCCTGCCAAGTCTTCATCAACCCCAAGTCGCGGACTGGCAGTTGGCGCCGGATCTCCACGCTTGAGCGACTAGCGCAGTACTAGCGCTCGACGCTCATTTGCCAAGAGCCCGCTTATGAGAGCTGATCCAGTAGCATTAGTCATTTATGTTTGGCAGGAATGAAAAGGGCATGCAGCGGCTGGGTGAGATTTCAAGGAAGATTATGCCGTGTAAAGTTCGGGCGAGAGTTGGGCGAGAGGAAGAAAGTTACAAAGCACGCGAGTATCGGCAACTTGCGATCATTGATGCACCGCTTTTTTTTAGCTTAACATTGAATCAACATTGAATACGCCCTTGATGCGCCCTGAAGGCAATGGAAAATCGCGCGTAACAGAACGCTAACAGAGCTCATTCTTCCAATATGCTCAGATTAAAATACATGCGGAGAAAGGTGACTCGACATTTACTGTACAAGTTCTCGCAGGCGCGAAACAATAAATGGGACTCAAATTGTCTCAAAAGTGGATATATTGTCCACCCAGGTTTCTGCTACAGATTTCGCGAGCACCGGCCGATCCTCAACGCCGGCCTGGTCGAAATTGAGATAACTGAAACGTCAACAGTACTAGTACGACTTACGAGATGCCAAGGAACGCCCCGTTAGAAGAATAGATGTATTGCCTGGCCTATAACTAATGGGGACAGCGCGTAGAGTTGCGACACGGTACACCGCTTCCACCTCAGTGACCTCACGGCACGTCAGGTGCATCGAGGAATTTTTGCTGAAGCGGAGTTGGCGGGAGTTTCATCTGGATCGATGCCAGAGCCAGGTGCAGGTGAGGCTCTAGGGCCGCCGCCGTAACTGTCGGTTGGCTTTTGGTAATATATGGTTCAAGTATAAGAACACCACACAACGTGCCGTGTGGGAGATTTCGAACTCTCATCGACGGCACAGTCACGGCACGGCCGCCAACCGTTATTCGCCGTCAACAGGCCGACGGATGTCTGCAATAAAACTGTATGGGTTTGGGGGTGAATGAGGTGGCTTCAGTGGGAGAATTTCAATGTTGTCCCAGAGCTTTGACGCCCATCGTCTGATGTAATGGCAAAGAAAGTATTAGGTGCCGAGTTTAGCTGAAGCTGCCGATTAATCAGTTCCCATTTCGGAACTCCAAGACTCGCCTCACGGCCGCAACTTTGGATTGAGAGACACAATATTCCGGGCCGTGGTATTGCGCCCCAATGTAGTCGGGGTCCAGAGAAGTATTATAATTCAACCTCCGAAAGATCGAACTTACACTCGGAGCCTGATCCCCGCAGGATGAAACGGCGGATACATTAGATGATTTATCGCTCAGAGGGGGGAAAAATACGAGGCTGGAAGTCTTTTGAATGGCTCGGGCCTGAGTCGAACGGGCTTGCTCTGCGTGAGATCGGATCTAAGAAGACCACACTGGTGACTGAGCAGAGGCGGACCCTCCGCTACCGAGCCTTTCTTCCATACCTTAAAACCTAGTGAGGTGGGTGAGTTTATTTGGAACCTGGGACAAAAAAGACGCCCAGGAGATCAATGGCTCGAGCCCGAGTCGAACAGGCGTGCTCTGCATAAACTCAGATCCGAGAAAACGTACACGTACATTGAGCAGATGCGGACCCTCCGCTACGGAGCCTTTCTTCCCTACCTTAGGACCTGGTGAGGTGAGTGAGTTTATTTGGAACCTAGGACAAAAAAAACGCCCAGGAGACCAATGGCTGAGTAGAACAGGCGTGCTCTACATCAAACTAGAGGCTAAAGGTGTACATTGAGCAGATGCGGACCTTCCGCTACCGACCGTTTTTCCCTAGCACGGAACTTGGAAGAGGTGGGCGAGTTACTTTACTTTGGGATGAGAAAAAAAACGATATTGCTCGCGTTCCGCAATGGCTCGGGCCTGAGTCGAACAGGCGTGCTCTGCGTGATTAGAGGTTAGAATACGTACATACATCGTAAGCAGCTGCGAACCCTCCGCCACCGAGCCTTATCCCCTGGGCCCTGAACTTGATGGGGTGGGTGAGTTTTCTTAGGATGAGAGAGAGAAAGATAACAGGGGTCGGGGGTAAGGTGTGTGCGGTGAATCAAGGAACATACCGTAGCGATTAGCAAAGGCATTATACAGGACATGAATGTACGCGAAGAAAACGGAGAAACGCAGCGATATCATAGCTTCCTGATCCTGGACCTCATGCGGTCTTCGCCTTCTTGCGCGCAGGCCCCTTCTTACCCTCCGCGACCGCCTCCCAGTCCTTGACAACCCAGCGGCGCGCCGTGCCGAGGTATTTCTTCCCCTTGGACTTGCTCTCGCGCTCCTCTGCGACGAGCACGCCGTCGCGCGCGCCGGGCGGCGGGAACTTCATGCCGGCGAGGCCCTTGCTTGGGAGCTTGGCGCAGGTGAGCGCGGGGACGGCTGAGGGCCGCAGCGCAACGCCGCCGAGCGCGTGCGCGCCGTTGTCGCCGTAGTGGTCCGTCCACGAGTGCACGATCGTGTACGCGTAGTGCACCGCCGCCCCGGGCGCGCACGCCTCGGCATCAGCCTCGGTAAACTCCACGCCCGTCGCGAGCTACGCACTGTAAAATGAGCAACGCGCGCAGTAAAAGGGAAAGAGAAAAAGCGCACCGTCTTCCCTTCCGCGACCTTCCACTTCTCCACGCGCGCGTCCATGTCCCCGATGTATGCCGTGCCGACTAGCTTCCCCTTCGCGCCGCTCGTGTCGAGCCCGCCGAACGCCTCGCGCGTCTCGCCGTCTCTGAGGACGCGCTTCGCCTCCTGCGCGTCGTGCAGCGCCTCCATAAGCGTCTTCGCACCGCTGATTGTGCGCGCGACTCCGAGCAGGCGCGGGCCTTCGTGCGCGCTGTCGAGTCCCGCGTCGTACTCGTCGTCCGCGATGACGAGGAAAAGGTGCGAGGGTGCGGGCGCTGCGGTGTGTTCTGGTGCTGAGGTGGCGCCGGGGGCCGTGCTGGGTTCACCGGTCGCGGTATCGTCTTCTGCAGGGCGTTTGAGGCTCGACATGGTGGTAAGAGGTCAAGATTTGTGGGCAAGAAAATTTCACGCTGACTCGCGTAGGTGGTCCGTGCGCGCATGTGACCTTCGGGCGATGCCGAACTCGCACGGTTTCAACTTGTGCTTTCGTAAAGATAATCACCGTATGCCGTGGTACGTATTTAGCCCTTCAATTTCGATCTGAACTCCTTTAGCTCCCTTCAATTTTTGTCTGAGGTGCGAATCCAACCAGACTCCAAATTGCGCTCTAGATCCTGCCAGCCTCTCCGAGCACTTCCCTTGGCCATGATATCTGGGAGGAAAGGCTCGATGGGGGCACCTCCGCGTATACGTGTACAAGTCACAATGACAATGCACAGTTCCGCGGAGGAATCCCGTTCAATTCGGGGCTAAGCCATACTTGCACGCACTGTTTCTTTTTTTGTAACCGAGGTTCCGGTAAGCTCCATTTGTGCAGCAGTTGTCTTCGAGACATAATTCTTTAAATGGTAGCCTCACCACTTCCCTACGGCTCGGGCCTAATTCGAACAGGCGTAGTCTGCTTACAATCTTATTCAAGCAGTTCGTATGGAATGCATCTGCATTCCAAGCGCTACCGAGCCTTCATTCCCCTCCTGGTACGTTTCTTATACTCATCATTTTCCAAGGGTTGTTAAACACTGAAAACGGTGATCTCGAGACCGAATGGCTCGGGCGTGAGTCGACCAGGCACCTTCTACATTAATTACCGCGGTCCGTAATATTGGGAACGCCTGGTGGGATGCAGATGTGCCGAGCCTTTCCTCCACAAGCCTCCACATCGGGTAAGTTCCTTATATCCAGCAGTTCTCACGGATAGTATATGGCGTCCAGTCGGGCCCGAGTCGAACTTCCGCGGCCAAGGCTCGATTTTTCCAACAGATGCAGATACACTCCGCCCCGACCGCGCCTTACACGTTCCTCTCCTGAATATTTAAAATTCGGACTGAAGAAGAAAATCCAAACCAAAAAGGCTCCGGCTCACACCTGATTCAAACAGGCGTAGTCTGCATTGATTTCATGTGTATGAGACACAGATGCGCACCCCGGGCGACCCAGCCTTTCTTCTATGTCTGGCAATTTATTAAATACTCGATTCTTACTCGGCACTACTATGGACTCAGCGAAGGAGATATCCCAAACTCAAGAAGAAGGGATAGTATTAATGATTCGAGCCTAGAGGCATATTCCGCTTCCAGAGATGAATCTTTCAACAGACACAATTGAGCACCATCCGCGCCCAAGCTTTCCTGATCAACCCTTCGTCGATGTCGTATTCTATAAGATTCACCCAAAAATCCTATGCAACCTGTCGGTGGCGCGGGTTGATTCTGACAGACACAAAGCGCCTCTCCGGTGTTCAAAAACCACTAAATGAGGTGTTAGTACAAAATACAAAATATACGAATTGAATACTCTCCCCCACCGCGACTCAGATGACATAGGAGTCCAGTCTGCATCGTCCACCTGGCGAGCTTCCGAAGGCGAGTATGATTGAAAAGGTGGAATATACTCAAGCGATACCTTTAGTCCAGCTCCGATGAGAGGCTGAAGCATGGGAATTATATCCACCTCCATGGGACGCGAGAAGGTTGCACGAATACTCGACAGACTAGCAACCTGCTCAAGGTGGGTGGCCGTCCGTGCCCGAATAAAACCAAGGAGTGCCTGGTCTGTTAGAGCAACGAAATGGAGGATATTCAAAACCCGAAGATGGGGGCATAGGGTCCGGCGTGGATCCGAAGTGCTCGGGGTGAGTAGAGTGATGAGATCGCCATCAGAGTCGGGAGTGGCGATGGGTTCCCACCGAAGTGATAGTTCTTGCAGCATGGGTGTGAGATGAAGGATCTCAGGAAAAAGAGACGTGGGCACGGCGGGTACACTGAGACTGAGGCGCTCGATGTGATTGGTGGAGATCAGGAGGGGTGTAAATGCCAGGGAATTGCCACCATTAGCGACCAGCATTGAATATTCCAGAGACCGTAGGTTAGGGAGGACCAAGGCACGGAAGAATTCGGGTGCGGGGTCCCAGTCCAAAACGCAGAGCTGCCACAATTTTTCCAAATGACATGGCGCTTCGACTGCATTTTGCAATTCCCGATGAATGGCTACACTGCATGTCTCGAGGTCAGGGCACTGTCGCATGATTGCAAGCACTCCGACCGTTGGGGCGGGTGAAGTACCTAAGCGCGGATCCGCATTGTAACCAATGGAGAGATGGCGTAATTGGCCCCACCGAACGGGAGGATACCGGAAATGAGGCTGCCGAAGGGAAAGACGGAGGAGATTGGTGCTCATAAACGACATTGTATCCGATTCGATGTCAGGACCATCGATGACCACGGACTGCAGCAAGGGAACATCATCTGCAGAGAGAGTCGCAAGCGGTTTGAAAGAGGAATGTAACGAAAGCAATAGATGAAGGTGATTCCAACGATTGGAGAAACGAATGAGTGTTTCGACCAGCTTCGAGACATCGAACCCAAAGGCTGCTGTCTGAGATCGGGCAATAGAAATTGATAGGGGAAGAGACCCCGATCTAGACAGCCAGGCGTCTATGCATTTGTCGATTTCCAACAGTTTCGACGGGGTGCCGGGCGCCACAATATGCAGCGTAGTCCACAGACGAGGCGTCGAAAGCGCTAGTCTCCTCCATGCCCGGCATAAGTGGCAGAGCAGCAAGGGGGATTCGGCACCGCTCATCACCGAATTCCTATCCGATGGAAGGGCTGCCGTGAATATCTCTGCCACGACATCCTCGGGCAGTCTGCGCGCGGGTGACACCAAAGCGAGGTGGGCGTCGATGAACCCGGTCAAATGGGCGCGTTTCCCCGCGAGTTCATTGATCAAGGTCTGCATACGCTCGATCTCATCGGTGATCTTGTCGACCTCTTTGCGTGGCCCGACGAGCAGCTCGTGAATGCGCTGACATTCTGTGTCAGAAGGAACTGCGTTGGTGTGCAGCCAGTCTTTGAACGGCGTGTCTATGGCGTGGAATTCCATGAGCTGCTACTTAAGGAAACTCAGATTCAAAGTGGCATGTTCAGTATGTCTGGTTCACGAACCGTTTGCGTGGTGGAAGACGGCGAGCGCTGAGAGTGCGCTGAGTCATGGCACGCGGCCACGTGGTGCCCCAACACGGGCAAAGCTGAACTGTGCGCGCAAGGCCCTTGAATCACTCTGTGTTTATAACAGAAATTCAGGCGCTCTCAGTTCCGCAAGTGGTTGTAATTTATCTAAAAACATGGGAGGTCCGCTTCTTAGTTTGTAGGGCCATAGCAGTGTTTTTTTTCTTGGTTAACTACACATGTATCCGAATTTAGCACTACGATCACATGCCTATCAAGGCGCTTAACTTCTTACCTTCACAATCCATGGACAACGAGGCCCGACCAGAAGCTGAGTTGCTCTCTGAATCGAGGGGAGATGGACATGGACCTACTCACCGCTAGTACGTGTTCTGCTGTTGTCTCTTCTGAACAAGATCTCATCGCGAATGCCAGTTCCATGACGGGCGCTTTTTTCCCAAATGCGCAGCATTTCGCTGTCGCCGGCGGAAATTTCACGAACATCACTCTTGCCCCTTGTGTTCCTTCTGGTGACTACGCTTACCGACGTTTCCAGGACCAAGCTAACAGCCAACGGACAGACTTTCGAAGGATCCCAATGGGGGACTTGGATCTTCGGAGTGAGATGCGATTGGACTCCGGCATAGTGCACCACCGGCATGGAAGGCGACTTGCTAAACGGATGTATTATGCACAGGTCCACGGCTTAAGAATGACCGTGGCGTTGTATCAGGGCGAGACCGCCGAGGAGGTGTGTTAGTAAAGTTTATTACTTCTCTGGACTTCAACTTAGATTCTTAGGAATGGCGGAAGGATATCTCACGAAAATGGCGTTTTCGGTGAACGCATATATTTCGTTTGGCTCTTTGAAATTAATATCAATTGCAGCCATCC